CTTTTTAAACCTAGGCCTGTGTATGGCCTTCAATTGAAGCTGCTTCTGCTCCGCCACTCTGCCATTGGACTCTTGATAGTCGTCGACTATCCACTCTCCACCGCGGCTCGGCACAAGCCATAATTTCTCGGAAAGGTGCTGAGTCCACCACTTGGAAAGGGAGGGACTGCAGCACCAGCAACTTGGACAGGAGGACGTTCAGCTTCTGCACCGTCGGGTGCGTGCTCGCAAACTGTTGTCTCTTGGAAACGGATTCCAAGAAAGACTGCTGACGGAATCCGTGAAGAGGAGTAGCAGGAGAAGGAGCATCTGAACAAGCGGAAGATGCCAACGAGCGACAACTCCCCTCAGCAGAGGTGTTGGAGCCTTGACTGGCTGATAGAGGGTGATTGACGTCGGGTGACGGAGCAAGTAACGGAGCGGGTGATGGAGCGGGGGCTGGGGCAGGCAGAACCGCCGTATCTTTATCACGGTTTTCCCAGGCCACCGAATGGCGACGCTGCATATGCTGACGCAACGCTGTAGTCCCAACATGGGCCCCCTGGCCACGCTTGACTTTCTGGCCACATAGTCGACATACGGCTACGTTTACTTCCTCGGGCGGCTTGACGAAAAATTGCCACAACACACCGCCGAGTAGGAAATTTTGCCCCCGCTACTCCTCACTGGCTGACTGCTACTTCCTCCGTGCACACCGGCACCACTACTGGCCGTGGTGGTAGGCTGCAGTGGAGCTGGTGCTCTACTCCGTGGCCGTTTGGCTCCACTGACACTGCTGCGACCCTGCTGCCTCCTGGGCAACCCACTGACTGTTTTGCTCGCTGGCAAGCTGGCACCCTCTTCTCCTGATGATGCGGAAGCAATAGCCTGATGACGACGAGGCTGCCAAGTGCGATCAGCCTCATCATCATCAATTAGGGTCTCCGCGTCACTACTAGCCCCCTCGGCTGCGTGTGGGTCAGGAGACAGACCTGTCTCTAGACCGGCTACCGAGCCACTCTCCTCGCCAGTACTTCTTCGCCTGGCTGCTGAAGAGGCGGATGTCTCCCCCCGTTCCTGACCGCCCTCTGTTAGCTCTTCCTCACTATACAGTGGGGCTGAGCCCACAGCATGCGATACTTCGCTTGGTGAGGGAACACCAAAGGACAGGGGCAGGTAGAGGACACGTGATTTCAGTGGGCTTGCTCCCGGGCCATGCCAACTAACGGTTGTGTCTGACGTACCCACCGACCGTTGGCTGTAGGTGTCAGAGGTGACCTGGGAAGAGGAAGACGACCGAGCCAACCAATCGATGACGGCAGGGTTGTCGGTGGAGACACGACCGCTGGATGACACCGGGAGCACTGGCCTCTGGCTGCGACTAGTGCTGCCTCGACCCCTTCCTCTGCTGCCACGTCTGCTCGCTCCTGAAACATTGCCTCCTCTGCCACTCCTCTGCGTGTTGTCTGACATACTCTTTAATTCAATAAGCACCCCAAACATAAAACAGGATTTAACTCTTTGAACGTACAATAGTGGTTGTGAAGCAGAAAGTAACGATTCTGTGTCTGTTGCTCCCTGAGCAACAATTCTGTGTCCCTGAGTAATGATTCTGTGTCCCTGAGTAACGATTCTGTGTCCCTCAGTAACAATTCTGTGTCCCTCAGTAACAATTCTGTGTCCCTGAGTAACAATTCTGTGTCCCTGAGTAACGATTCTGTGTCCCTGAGTAACAATTCTGTGTCTGTCCCTGAGTAACGATTCTGTGTCCCTGAGTAATGATTCTGTGTCCCTGAGTAACAATTCTGTGTCCCTGAGTAACGATTCTGTGTCCCTCAGTAACAATTCTGTGTCCCTTAGTAACAATTCTGTGTCCCTGAGTAACGATTCTGTGTCCCTGAGTAACAATTCTGTGTCCCTGAGTAACAATTCTGTGTCCCTGAGTAACAATTCTGTGTCCCTCAGTAACGATTCTGTGTCCCTCAGTAACGATTCTGTGTCCCTGAGTAACAATTCTGTGTCCCTGAGTAACAATTCTGTGTCCCTGAGTAACGATTCTGTGTCCCTGAGTAACGATTCTGTGTCCCTCAGTAACAATTCGGTGTCCCTGAGTAACAATTCTGTGTCCCTGAGTAACAATTCTGTGTCCCTGAGTAACGATTCTGTGTCCCTGAGTAACGATTCTGTGTCTGTCCCTGAGTAACAATTATGTGTCTATCCCTGAGTAACAATTATGTGTCTGTCCCTGAGTAACGATTCTGTGTCCCTGAGTAACAATTCTGTGTCCCTGAGTAACAATTCTGTGTCCCTGAGTAACGATTCTGTGTCCCTGAGTAACAATTCTGTGTCCCTGAGTAACGATTCTGTGTCCCTGAGCAATGATTCTGTGTCCCTGAGTAACAATTCTGTGTCCCTGAGTAACAATTCTGTGTCTGTCCCTGAGTAACGATTCTGTGTCCCTGAGTAACAATTCTGTGTCCCTGAGTAACGATTCTGTGTCCCTGAGTAACAATTCTGTGTCCCTGAGTAACGATTCTGTGTCCCTGAGTAACAATTCTGTGTCCCTGAGTAACAATTCTGTGTCCCTCAGTAACGATTCTGTGTCCCTGAGTAACAATTCTGTGTCTGTCCCTGAGTAACGATTCTGTGTCCCTGAGTAACAATTCTGTGTCCCTGAGTAACAATTCTGTGTCCCTGAGTAACGATTCTGTGTCCCTGAGTGTCAGGGCTCCCAGGTATGACCAGAGGTGTGTGACTGATGCAGGGAAACGCAGACTTCAGATATGTGATAAACAATACAATTTATTAACACTAACCATACAAACATAAAAGCAGTGCAATACTAAACATAATACAGTGCAAACAAACCAAACCAAACCACCCACAGATAACAGTACATACAAGCAAGCGTCGTCAGGCAGGCCGGGTCAATATCAATTGGGCAGGTAGGTACAGGGGGAGCAAGCAGAGAATGGTCGGGGTCACAGGCCAGGTTCAGCAGGTAGCAAGCAGCGTAGTACAGAGGGTCAGGCAGAGGGATGGTCAGGGTCACAAGCCAGAGATCAAAACAGGTAACAAGCAGCGTAGTACAGAGGGTCAGGCAGAGGGACAGAAACAGGATGCAGGACAGATACAGGGCCCAGGACAAACACAACACCAAGGCAGAGTCTGTGGGTCTGGCCATCCCTTAAATACCCCAGCATCATCAGTTCCAGGTGTTAGCTGGCTGAAAGGTTGAGTCTCTGATTGCTGGGAGAGCACCCGCTGGCCAGCCCTGGTACTGCAGATCAAAAGGCAGGTGAGTCCCACCATTGCTGGCCAGTCCATTCCTAACAGTACCCCCCCCAAGGAGCGGCCTCAGGACGCTCCAAACAGTCCTAGCTGGGCAAAATGTTCCACCGCCCGGGTCTGGTAACTGGCGGGATATCAAAGACTGGCACACCGGGCAGGACTACCGGGCAGCGGCACACCGGGCTGGACTCCGGGCAGAGTCACACCGGGCTGGACTCCGGGCAGAGGCACACCGAGCAGAGGCACACCGGGCAGAGGCACACCGGGCAGAGGCACACACCGGGCAGAGGCACATCAGGCAGAGGCACATCGGGCAGGACTCCGGGCAGAGGCACATCGGGCAGAGGCACATCGGGCAGGACTCCGGGCAGAGGCACATCGAGCAGAGGCACACCGGGCAGAGGCACACCAGGCAGAGGCACACCAGGCAGAGGCACATCAGGCAGAGGCACATCAGGCAGGACTCCGGGCAGAGGCACATCGGGCAGAGGCACATCGGGCAGGACTCCGGGCAGAGGCACATCGGGCAGGACTCCGGGCAGAGGCACATCGGGCAGGACTCCGGGCAGAGGCACATCGGGCAGGACTCCGGGCAGAGGCACATCGGGCAGGACTCCGGGCAGAGGCACATCGGGCAGGACTCCGGGCAGAGAGGCACATCGGATTACCAGGCGAAGCAGCAGGCAGCGGGCCACCAGGCGGAGCAGCAGGCACCGGGCCCCGGGGCGGAGCAGCAGGCACCGGGCCCCCGGGCGGAGCAGCAGGCACCGGGCCCCCGGGGCGGGGCGACATGCATCGGGCCCCCGGGCGGAGCAGCAGGCACCGGGCCCCCAGGCGGAGCAGCAGGCACCGGGTTCCCCCGGGCGGGGGGCAACCGGGCCCACCGGGCGGGGCAGCAGGCACCGGGCCCCCGGGCGGAGCGACAGGCACACCGGGCCCCCGGGCGGGGCGACAGGCATCGGGCCCCCGGGCGGGGCGACAGGCATCGGGCCCCCAGGCGGGGCGACAGGCATCGGGCCCCCGGGCGGGGCAGCAGGCACCGGGCCACCAGGGCGGGGCAGCAGGCACCGTGCCCCCAGGCGGGGCGACAGGCATCGTGCCCCCAGGCGGGGCGACAGGCATCGTGCCCCCCAGGCGGGGCGACAGGCATCGTGCCCCCAGGCGGGGCGACAGGCATCGTGCCCCCAGACGGAGCGGCGGGTGCGCCGGACCCCCAGGCGGAGCGACAGGTCTCGGGGCCCTCAGGCGGAGCGGCGGGGCGCCGACCCCCAGATGGAGCGACAGGTCTCGGGCCCTCAGGCGGAGCGGCGGGGCGCCGGACCCCCAGGAAGCGGAGCGACAGGTCTCGGGCCCTCAGGCGGAGCGGCAGGCGCCGGACCCCCAGGAGGAGCGACAGGTCTCGGGCCCCTCAGGCGGAGCGGCGGGCGCCGGACCCCCAGGTGGAGCGACAGGTCTCTCGGGCCCTCAGGCGGAGCGGCGGGCGCCGGACCCCCCAGGCGGAGCGACAGGTCTCGGGCCCTCAGGCGGAGCGGCGGGCGCCGGACCCCCCCAGGCGGAGCGACAGGTCTCGGGCCCTCAGGCGGAGCGGACGGGCGCCGGACCCCCAGGAGGAGCGACAGGTCTCGGGCCCTCAAGCGGAGCGCGGCGGGCGCCGGACCCCCAGGCGGAGCGACAGGTCTCGGACCCTCAGGCGGAGTGGCGGGCGCGCCGGACCCCCAGGCGGAACGACAGGTCTCCTAGGCCCAGGCCCCCAGGCGGGGCGGCGGGCACGCACCGAGTCACCAGGCACAACCGTGGGCTCCGAGTCAACTGGGATGACCGCTGGCACTGGGTCAGACATTGGATCGTCTGGCTGGACAGCGGGCATCGGGTCACCAGGCATCAGGTCATTTGGCTCGACAGCGGGCACCGCGTCATCTGGCAAGGCAGTGGGCTCCGAGTCAACTGGTATGACCGCGGGGCACTGGGTCAGACATTGGATCGTCTGGCTGGACAGCGGGCACTGGGTCACCAGGCATCAGGTCATTTGGCTCGACAGCGGGCACCGCGTCATCTGGCAAGGCAGTGGGCTCCGAGTCAACAGGCACGACAGTGAGCACCGGGTCATCAGGTACCGGATTGTCTGGCTCGACAGCGGGCATCGGGTCACCAGGTATGACAGCGGGCACTGGGTCACCAGGCATCAGGTCATTTGGCTCGACAGCGGGCACTGGATCAGGTACCGGATCATCTGGATCAACAGCGGGCATCGAGTCAACTGGCCTAATAGGATCGTCAGGCTGGATCAGTTCATCATGCTGGGTAGAGGCATCAGGCTGAATGCCGGCGGTCCGGCTGAGTAGAGGCTTCAGGCCGAGTAGAGGCTTCAGGCCGAGTAGAGGCATCAGGCCGAGTAGAGGCATCAGGCCGAGTAGAGGCTTCAGGCCGAGTAGAGGCATCAGGCAGTAGAGGCTTCAGGCCGAGTAGAGGCTTCAGGCCAAGTAGAGGCATCAGGCCGAGTAGAGGCATCAGGCCGAGTAGTAGGCTTCAAGGCCGAAGTAGAGGCATCAGGCCGAGTAGTGGCTTCAGGCTTAGTAGGCATCAGGCCGAGTAGAGGCTTCAGGCCGAGTAGAGGCTTCAGGCCGAGTAGAGGCATCAGGCCGAGTAGAGGCTTCAGGCCTGAGTAGAGGCTTCAGGCTGAACCACGGAAGGCAGGCTCACCGGTTTGGATACTGGCAGGATGGTATTGGTTGAAAGAATTTTCGCTTTTTTCTGGTTTTAACTACTGGAGCACTGCAAGTAAACGCAGGTCTGCAAACGAAAGAGCAGCTGGTAGACAGAGAAGAACTGGAGGATGGAACAGGAGAGGGAGCGGTTGCTACAGAGGGCTCTTTTACAGGGTAAAGGCAGGATAGGTGCAGCGAGTGGGAACAGGGTACTGACATGCGGTAGATAGCAGGGCAGGAGGAGCTGTTGGGAATGCAGGAATAGAGTTTTGAGGAAATAGATTAGAAGCAGGACTGGGTCTTTGTAAGCTGACTGAGGCTGGGTGCAACAAATCTGTCCATGTCTGCAGTATGGGTTGAACAAAGCTGAGCTTACACAAAGCCTGTCTGGTCAATGACTGCACTGCGTTTATACAATCTCTTAGTGTCTGTGGTGAACATGTGGAATAAACGCTCCAGAAAGTAACCCACATCATCCTCTAATAACCACACCAGGGACTCTACCTGGTCTGCACTAAATGGTGGCAAAAATTCATCCCTGCATTCGGGGGAACCAGATGAAACCAACTCAGCACAAACCTCAATCAAAGGCTGCACCTCAGAGAACTCTGTGCCCTGATCTACTAGAACATGAGCGAGCCGTATACATTCTAGCAGTTCATCCCGGGTATACTCCTTCAGAGTTTTGATGATAAGCATACTCCCTGTCATCAAACACTAGCAGATATAAATATTCAACCTCATCAAGATCCATCCTTCCCATCAACAAGCCAAGATGGCTTCCCTGTGCAGCCACTTCTGGTCAGGATTGGCCTTGGTGTAATGTCAGGGCTCCCAGGTATGACCAGAGGTGTGTGACTGATGCAGGGAAACGCAGACTTCAGATATGTGATAAACAATACAATTTATTAACACTAACCATACAAACATAAACGCAGTGCAATACTAAACATAATACAGTGCAAACAAACCCAACCAAACCAACCCACAGATAACAGTACATACAAGCAAGCGTCGTCAGGCAGGCCGGGTCAATATCAATTGGGCAGGTAGGTACAGGGGGAGCAAGCAGAGAATGGTCGGGGTCACAGGCCAGGTTCAGCAGGGTAGCAAGCAGCGTTAGTACAGAGGGTCAGGCAGAGGGATGGTCAGGGTCACAAGCCAGAGATCAAAACAGGTAACAAGCAGCGTAGTACAGAGGGTCAGGCAGAGGGACAGAAACAGGATGCAGGACAGATACAGGGCCCAGGACAAACACAACACCAAGGCAGAGTCTGTGGGTCTGGCCATCCCTTAAATACCCCAGCATAATCAGTTCCAGGTGTTAGCTGGCTGAAAGGTTGAGTCTCTGATTGCTGGGAGCACCCGCTGGCCAGCCCTGGTACTGCAGATCAAAAGGCAGGTGCCCACCATTGCTGGCCAGTCCATTCCTAACACTGAGTAACGATTCTGTGGCCCTAAAGTCTCTGTGGCCCTAACTCTGTCCCTAATACAGACAGGTCTGTCTCTCTTGAATGACCGGAGGCTAATGGAGAAATTCTAAGATGGCCGCGATTTATAGCTCCACCATTACACAGTGCTGGCTGGCTGGCTGCTGATTGGCTAATGCGATCACATGTCATGAATGAATGCATTATGGGTCAGCGCGCCTTGTCTGCGCGCCTTCCCAGAGATCCCCGCTCCGTCGCCACACATGTCGCCGCCATTTTTGAGAAAATTCGATTCGTGCATCCAAAGTTTGCTAATTTTTCGGATTCGGCGCGAACCGAATTTTTTCCTAATCTTCGAAACGAATTCCACTTCGTCATGTTCGATTCGCTCATCTCTAATCACAGCATGTATTCTCATGTATTCAAGTATTATTCATATTATGTAATTTCTCAGTCAACAAGTGGTCACCCTTGCTAAATTTATTCAGCGTGTGGATCCCTTGGGTCACAGGCATGCAATTTTTTTACCATACCATGTGCTTATACAGCCCTTATAGGTAGCCAAATTCCTGATCCCAGCTAGGGATGAGGGAATCTGCCTGGGTAGGATTCAGGTGTTTGTCGAAATCCTGCTTGAAATCCTGGAAACCCAAAATTTAGCTGCAAAAACTTTTGAAGACTATGGGGGGCAAATCTTGATACCAAATTTGGGTCATTTTCAAGACCAAATAGGCAAAAGCTATTGTCAAATAAATAGTATATGGGACTGCCATGGGGATATTTAACAAAACAAAAACATAAAAAAAATACCATACAGCAGGGAGAGGGTGCTTTCAACGTAGGTTGAAGGAAATGTTGAATAAATTCCAAATCTGTACATTTTGCTAGGGAAATGCTTTTAAGCATTATAAGGTGTTACTAAGTGGTAATGTGCCTGCATAACCAGTGGAAGTAGCAGCCTCAACAGGTCTAGATGATATAATATAGCCATTTCTTACATATCTGATGCAAACGGCACTGGTGTGGTGCACAGCCTCTGCCTGTAGTACATTACCAGCAAAAAAAGGCGCTCACTTCTCCTCCTCAAGCTTGCATAGCAGTCTTTCTTTTCAAGTGCAGCTAATGTGGTGTACTTTTCTTCTCCTCCTCTTCAAAGGCACATATCAGCCATTTTCTAATTGTCATATGCCAGTTGCCATTATGTTGCACAGAAGGCCATCCCTGCCCTATACTAGCATGTGGAATTCCATGGGACAGTGGGAGGTAAAAAAGTAATATGAGCAGTGTTGGGGTGCTGGTGATGATGATGAGGAGGAGGGTTGGGGTGCTGGCTGTAAGAAGGAGGAGGGTTGGGGTGCTAGTGATGAGATGGAGGATTGGGCCACTGGGCGGTAAAGAGGAAGAGGCATGTTGGGGTGTTAACAGCAAGGATGAGGAGGGTTGGGGTGCTCACAGTGAGGGAGGAAACTGTTGGAAGACTTCAAGGGGGGCTTTCACTCATCCCTTATATAAAGGGAAAATCTGGGGGATCTACTGCCACCCAGAGGGAGCCCATGAATTTGAGGATGTGATCTGTACCAATCTCTTTGCTCCATTTACTGATTGGGCTAGGATCCCTCGCACCAGAGCTGCAGGGGGGGAAACATACAGCCATAAAACTGCTCACCCTTCCCCAAATCAGGGTTTCTATTTTGTAGAGGTATACAGTATCTTAATTTATTTTATTTTATATTATTATTATTTTGTTAGCAGACACAGGCAAAGTTACCCTTTGTTTGCACCACATCAACACATACGTGTGTTATAAAACTGTGTGCATCAAAGTACCAGGTTTATACCTCCTATTGCCATAGTTGCAAATTATTTATTTATTTATTTTTTAAAGGACAGGCAATCCTAGAATTAGAGGCATAGGTTTTGCATGTGGAGTTAGTAACGGTTTTTTATAATTGCCATTTTTTGTTATTGTTTTCCTTGTAAGGCTATCCCTGCCCTGGTAAAGCAAACACATACAAGTACAGCAATGCAGGCTGGATACTACATTTATAAAAAAAAAAGGATAGTCCTAGGTCTACAAACTTAGTCTTATTCCTATGTGAAAATAAAAAAGGTTTCTTGTTCTCCCACAATATAAAAGGAAGAACTGGCATCATCAAATGAAGGGGGAATTCTGTGGCCAAGGGGGGGTTGATGGGTAGCCATCAACAAAAAGTCAAGCTTTTAATTCTACAGCCATAAATTGCCACAGTTTGTAGAGTCTCAGGAGAGTTGAGGGGGTCATCCTGTCACTGGTGAATTATATAGGCAGTATTGAAGTAGCTGAGAAAGCCTTTCTATTGGAGCAGAATGCTGTAGTCAGAGGCTGACAAATGTACCTAAGGCTCAGATAACGGGCATTGATATGAACACAGTAGGTGAGAGAAGGAGAGAAGCGCCTCTAAGTGCAATGTCTCTTTATTAAAGTATATAGGTAGGAGCACTCGCATAGGTAAGGTAATTGTAAGCATAAAAACCGTGGTTAACAGTAAAGTGGGTATCCCAGGGTGAAGAGCCGTCATCTACAGTGGGGCAAAAAAGTATTTAGTCAGCCACCAATTGTGCAAGTTTTTCCCACTTACAAAGATCAGAGAGGCCTGTAATTGGCATCATAGGTAGACCTCAACTATGAGAGACAAAATGAGAAAAAAAAATCCAGACAATCACATTGGCTGATTTGGAAATAATTTATTTGCAATTTATGGTGGAAAATAAGTATTTGGTCAATATCAAAAGTTCATCTCAATACTTTGTTATATATCCTTTGTTGGCAATGACAGAGGTCAAACATTTCCTGTAAGTCTTCACAAGGTTGGCACACACTGTTGCTGGTATGTTGGCCCATTCCTCCATGCAGATCTCCTCTAGAGCAATGATGTTTTGGGGCTGTTGCTGGGCAACACGGACTTTCAACTCCCTCCAAAGGTTTTCTATGGGGTTGAGATCTGGAGACTGGCTAGACCACTCCAGGACCTTGAAATGCTTCTTACGAAGCCACTCCTTCGTTGCCCGGGCGGTATGTTTGGGATCATTGTCATGTTGGAAGACCCAGCCACGTTTCATCTTCAATGCCCTTGCTGATGGAAGGAGGTTTGCACTCAAAATCTCACGATACATGGCCCCATTCTGTCCTGAACATGGATCAGTCG